AATAGTAATAATAATAATTGATACCACTACTACTACGAATAATTATTCTTATAATTTTAACTATAATGGTAATAAAAATAATTATAGTTGATGATTATTATTGTGAAGATGCTGATGTCTACCTGATGTAATATCTTCGGCTTTGGTGGACCTGATGAAAGATGAAGTTGTTGGATTTCCTTCGCTTGGAATTTGTCTAGTTTTTGCCTGAGATGCATCTGTGCCGTTTGTATGTAGAGTTTCATGTGCACTAACAGGCGCATCTTTAGAGTTATTTCCTTGCTCTTTCTCTCCCTCAGTTCCTTCATTATTTTGTTTTCCTTCTCCTGTTGGATTAGAAGGGGCTTCAGACACCTGAGAAGAAGATGAATTTACAAAATTCATCGTGTTCAACATCACCAGCGAAAGAAATATCGCAATAAAACCTGCGGCGGTGGCGCCTTTGATCTTCATTTTCTTGCAGTTTAATATAAATTCAATGAATATTGGATAATTAATCAGTTTAAATGAAGGTTTCTCTGTTAAAAACAAAAGAGAAACGGAAAAATAAGAAACACAACACACACGAACCCCCCTGGCTAGTGCGTGGGTTTCTGTGGGAATTAAAGCAGGCACGAGGGAGAAATTTCCTCAGAAAGATAAAAGGAAATATATTTAAATATATTTATTATTTTTAAACATTTTCAGTGCTAGTTTGCCCCTGCAGCCATGCTGGTGCCGGCCAGTCGCAACACTTGAGGAGGGTGGCCTAGGGCTAGTAAGCACCAGCAGTCCCTCATCAAAGCGCACACACAATACGGAAATAATAATATTATTCAGATTCCTTCTCTTTTTATTTATTATTTCTTTAGTGAAAAAAAGTGAAAAAATTAACATCCCCGAATTTGCATTCATTGCTACTTTACGCACAGCCCGGAGTTCCGCCGGTCATCGAAGCCTCCATCACCATACTACCTTCATTTTTCATAGAAATAAACCTGCACTAGTTTTCTTGTATTTTAATATCCATCATAAATCCATCAGACAAATAATGCTTGGGAGACCTGAACAATTTAAACCTTAAGTCGCTTTGTGTGCGCGAGATATTCGTTGACGGCTCTCACAGTCACAGTCTTTCTGCTCCACTGCTGCCGCTTACCACCACCCACCGCAGAAACGAAAGAAATACGCGGAAAAACAATCAATTGTATATTTTAAAATTAATATATTCAACAAAGCTCAAGCAATAACTCCAAAAGAAGGTCTCTAGAACTGCATTCTCCCCTTGTTCGCCGGCTAGAGCCACCCAGATTGCGAGTTGTACCAGAATGCAGTGTATACGCAGATCGCCTACAGTACATGCGCTTGATCTTGAATGCCTACAAAACTACTTTTTTTTTAAAAAAATCAGCTTACATTCCTGCATACGGCATATAGGTTTAAGTGAGAAAAAATCTGACAAATTATGCAGGCGCTGTCCGTAGCTGGTCCATTAACAACTTGGCTTTAGAGGGAAGCCTGCAAGCAAACAAAAACGCAGCAAAACGACTGTTCACACTGTTAGAACAAACAGCAAAAGATGGTTTGATGCTCCTCTCATGTGAAGGTGCTCTGCAGCATTAGTTGCAACGAAGTGCGTTGTACCTCATGGCTGCCTGCTTCCCGTCCAGCACCGCAGTGTATCTAATCACGCTAATCGACGGCTAAACTTTGCCTTTTCCTAGGCTGCTCTTTGATAGACTTCCTTTGCAAGGTACCGAAGCTTCCTGTAACTGGGGGCTGCACGGAGGATGAGTTCGATGCAGTACGTTTGGCGTTATGCGGGTGCCCCGCCGGCTGTTATTTACTACGACTGAGAGCGCTTTCTTCAACCTTGCCCACTTCTGCTGCTCTTCGATTCATCACTGGATCGACCTCACCAAAACTTTGATCTTCGTACGATCAAACGTCGGAGTCCACGCATTTCTCCGCCGTTTCTGCTAGCCTCTCGGCACTGGATTGTAGCCTGCTCGTTCCTTGCTCCTTCACATATCAATCTCGTTTTCTTTAAATGCTTAAGCTGCAAATGATGCCTGGAGGGCTGGCACTCTCTTGCTGTTGACCGGCACATATACCTCAATACTGTCGTCTGGAGGCTGCAGGAACCCTTCCAATGGGCCCCCCTACAGCTAGCCGAAAAATTCGTCAGGAACGTCCGGTATAGTGGTAATTTCTGGGTTGTGCCCCTAGTTTATTGCGACTCTTCTGCTGATCATCGCGCCCTATCTATCATCGGGAAAGCGTTGTCGCAGGGACTGCGCCAATCAACAGTAATGCAGCTTGCTGGCCTCGTCACTCTAGTCACAGATATTATCCCCACTTCATAGCCTGCTTCAAGCAGCGCTGGCAACTATTAAGCATTTATCGCAGTAGCGGCTAGCGCTGCTTGATGAAGGCAACGCAGTGGAAATAACAAACACTGAGCATTAGTGCGAACTTAGACAAGCAGGATTGCCGCAAGGGGGATCTACCGGCTCGATTTCCACTCCTTTCGGCCCCACCACCGCTGAATAGAAGTCTCCTGCTTAGCCTGTGCCAAGCAGCACTAGCAACTACTGGCCATTAAGGCGAACTTGGACAACCAGAGTTGAGCCGAGGTGGATGTGCTGGCGCTACTGCCACCCCTTCCGGTATGCATGTACCCCAGGGAATTCCCTTGATATATTGGTGTGTTCCCCTGCAGGTGCTACTGAAACCTTAGCTCTTTGCTTTTTTAATGAGCCTGAAATATCATTTTAGGCGGCTTCATTCGTTGCAAAGGGAACAGACTCACTGCTCATTACCTCCCGCTGTATTCCTCGGCGCAACGTTGCCGGCTGCAGTATATTCTCGCGTCTCTGCTTCATCTGCGAGGGGCTGGTAATCGCAACCCCAGAATTCATAGGTTCAATGTCCTGGTCCTTCTGCTTCCTTTCTTCTCTTCTGGGGCGATGGTAGATGCTTTTTTTTTCTCCCTTTGATTTCATAAGGGTTCCACCCTCTCGGCAAGGGTGACCCTTTCACCCCTTTGTTTCCCCACCCGGTTCCCCGTGACTTCTCTACCAAGGAGAGCACTGTTATGTGCACTGTTGTAAGCCATTGAAATAGAAGTTTGGAATCCTCCGTTAGACCTCCGTTCAGCAAGAACTTCCACTTGTCGATGTATTCCTCTTTATCAATTCTGCTACAGCCTATTTTCTCTCCACCCCAGGATTAAACCTGCATCACAGCGTATCTCGCAAGGCTTCTATTTCTGGGATGTGCTTGGAGTAATGGTGCAGCTGCTCATTTATAACCACCATTGCCTTGCTTCCCCTATAAACCCCCCTAATAAAAAAGAAACAAACTTTTTTATTGCAACTGTAGCTCTTTCGGGTGGTCTTTGAAGAGGAAAGTACAGCTCCAGAGAAGCGAGGAGAACCTCCATTGCCTTCCCCCATGATGATCGTTATATATTTGAAGAGGCACAAAAGGCGGAGGTAATTTTAATGAATTGCTCTCGCCGCCAAGATCTTTCTCGGCTGGGCTTACCGATGCTGCGCTCTGTCCAAATCCCACTGCCGTTCACTCTCCACATGCCGTATCATTTGCTTACTTCGTCTCTTGCTCCACGAAATTAGCTTTTATCACCCCTTCTCCTCCTCCCTCCCCTTCCTCCGCCTTCTAGAAGTGCGAATCTTTGCGTTATAAGGGTCTGAGGTTGGTGCTCAAAGCCGGCGGCCGGTGGAGAGCTGCAGCAATCCGTATTGCAAGCCCTGCTGCAGCAGAATGCCCCATCACTTGCAAGAATACTTCACGTGTTCTTTTCTGATGCAAACATTACGCGTGTAGTAAGTTGTTAGACTCTTGCTCGGCTCTCTCCGTACCCAACCTGCACACAAGTGGAGATGCATGCACTATCTCAGTTAGAGAAGACCAACGTTTTCAAGTTCTACATGCTAGCATGTTGAAGACCTCATTAACTATGCATTGACAGATTAAACAAAGAATGTTATAACCTTTGAATTCTTTGTTTATAGCTAGTAGCATAAACCCGCTACCCCCCACAAGAATGCCGAGCCGTTTAGAGACACAGGCAGTGATGCAGCTCTCCATATCTAAAGATGGTTTATTAAAGCAGTTTTCTCTCTTTTTTTTACGTATTTGTTCTGCCCTTATGTTGTCTTTCCTTAAAAGCACCTCAAGCCATATCGTGCGGACCCTCTAGCAGCATCAGAAGCCTGCAGCCTCTGTCTTTTTTAGTTGTTTCCTGAATAACTGGGTACATATATGGATTTAATTAACTAAATTGTGCTGTATAATGGGTATATCTGCGGAAAAAAACAACAGCTAAACAAAGCCAACCAAACAGACCACTGTACATACACCGGACAGCACGGCGGCAATGAAGATTTATATTTCTTCGCATCAGAGAGAAATTATTCGCGAGTATTATTTATAAAAACAAAATATAAAAACGTTAAAAACAAATTTCATTTTCTTCTCTTCATACTTTACAAACAAACACAGCAAAACAACCATCTGTTGCTGCGCTGCATCTGCATCGGAGAGGCTGGACCAGACTTCTGCAGGTGCTGCATTCTTTAATTATATGTATTTATATATTTATTTATTTAATTTATTTATTTATTTAATCCTTTGGCGGTTGTTGATATTCGTGCACGAAAGCAAAGAAGCATTAAGACGAAACGCAGGAGGTGCCGCTGCTCCACCGTCCGCATACCGCCCGAGCCAAAGCAGCAGCAGCAGCAGCAGCAGCAGCAGGAGCTGGGGCTGATTACCAGCAAACTTCTGCATTTGCAGAGCAAATCTGTGAAATATGAGGAGTGAAAGAATATTTCTTTTACCTCTTTGCTTTTTATAGTGCAGAAAACGCTTATCTTTTAGGTGGGCGGACACCTGAAGATCTGCTGCCATTGGCTCGCAGCAGTTTACAGCGTCTCAGTTATATTTCCTCCTTTTTCTAGACCTTCTGCAGCGGCTAACGCACAGATAAACCGTAGATGGATGAATTTGCGTCCTTCAGGTGTACGGACACCTCAGGTTCCGACAGCCATCCGCAGCAGCAGCACCAGCAGCAGCAGCAGCTGCCGCAGCAGCATTCGCTTCAGCACTTGTTGCCCGCGCTGCAGGAGCAGCGAAACCATCATCAGCAACAGAGCCACTCTCCATCATATGGGTGGGGATGTGGTGATGCAGCAGCAGCAACGGCAGCAGCAGCAACAGCAGCAGCACCAACGGCAGCAGCAGCATTCAGTGAGGTGCGCAAGGATGGATATGCAGGTGTCCATACACTCTACATTCCCCGCGCTTGCTGCAGCAGCAGCAGCAACAACAACAACAACAGCTGCAGCAGTTCAGAGGCGGCCGAGCTCCAAGGCCCGCATACCGAATGCAGTAGCAGCAACAGCAGCTGCACCGCGAGCAGCGGCGGCAGCAACAGCAGCAAGAGGGACCCGTCGGTATACTGCAGCAGCAGCAGCAGCAGCAGCAGCCCAGAGAGCAGCAGCAAATACAGCATTTATTGCAACAGCAAACCGACAGACATTTCTTTACCTGCTTCAGAGGCAATAAGTGATGAAGGGATTGACAGGCAGCAGCAGCTGCTGCAGCAAGTGCAGCATCCTGCAGAGCTGCAGCAGAAGCAGGAACATGGGCTGGCCCTGTTGCAGCAGCAGCAACAGCAACAGCAACAGCAACAGCATCAACAGCAGCAACATCCACAGCAGCAGCAGCAGCAACAGCACCAGCTACAACAGAAGCAGCAGCAGCAGAAGCAGCAAGAACGCCCTCGATGGATGCTACGCCCACCGCCGAAGCATTTGCTGCACCGCCTTAAGAAGGAGGCCTTCCGCTGCTGCTGCAGCAGCTGCTGCGTCTCTTCTCAGCTGCAGCAGCAGCACGCATTTACACCCCACCTTGTATCAGAACAGTTGCAACAGCAGACAGGGGAGGCTGCAGCAGGTACATGCAAGGCGCAGCATGCAGCTGCAGGAGGTGCTGCTGGTGCAGCAGCAGCAGCAGCAAGCCGCGCTGAGGCCAACGCTGAAGCAAGCAACGGCTGCGAAGGACCTGCTGCTGCTGCTGCTGCTGCACACGGGGGAACAACGACACAGCGAGGCCGTGCTGCTGAAGAGGCAGCAACAGCTGCAGCAGCAGCTGCTGCTGCACCGTTTACTGCATCTCCATCTGACTCAGCAGCCACAGCCTCAGTGGAAGACTTGCTGCTGCGGAACAGCTGCAAAGCCAGCATCAGCAGCAGCGACTGCAGCAGCAGCAGCAGCAGCAGCAACAGCAGCAACAATGGAGATTTGAGGACCAGCTCCGGAGTCGGGGCCGAGCTGCCTGCTGCTGCTGCTAATGGATGCTCCAGGGGGCACCTCGAAGCAAATATGCATGCAGGTGCTGCTGCTGGTGGTGCTGCTGCTGCTGATGTGCGTGCAGCAGATACTGCAGCCGAAGCAGCAGCAGCTGCGCATGTTGGCGTGCTGCAGCAGCAGCGTTTGCATGCGGGGATACGCAGCAGCAGCAGCAGCAACAGCAACAACAGTAGCAATTTCTGCTGCTGCTGCAGGGTTACTGTGAGTAGCAGCAGCGGACGCTGTAAGTGTTGCGCATGCACTGCTTGTACACAGAAGGCTTGCTGCAGCAGCGACAGCAGCAGCAATAGCAGCAGCAGCAAAAGCATCAGCAGCAGCCCAGACCTGCCACTGCCGGAGTTGTGCTGCTTGCGTAGTGGACCAGCAGCAGCAACAGGAAAAGCAGCAGTAGCAGGAGCAGCAGCAGCAGGAGCAGCAGCAGCAGGAGCAGCAGCAGCAGCAGCAGTTGAGCGTGCCGTTGAATCGTGTTGCAGCGCCGCCGTCCCTGCACTACCAGCAGCAGGAGCAGCAACAATGCATCATAAGGAGCGTTGTGCGTGTGGTTCTTGCGTAGCATGTGCATGCAAGGTAGAAGCCAGCAGAATGTGCAGCATAAGCAGCAGCATCAGCAGCAGCAGCATCAGCAGCAGCAGCAGCAACTGCCCACACATCAGCAGTAACTGTATGGGCAGCAGCAGCAGCAGCTGCACACCCATCAGCAGCAGCAGCAGCAGCAGTTGCCCACACCTGAGCGTCCACTGCAGCAGCAGCACCAGCACCAGCACCAGCAGCAGCAGCAGCAGCAGCAGCAGCAGTTTGCTGTCAGCTCGATGGCACTACGCGTTGATAAAGCGCTTGAATTTTATCTTGAGGCATGGAGCTCCTCTCTTTGGCCTCTTCATCCGCGAAGACGGCTTCGTGCGCGTTCGAGACCTGCTGATGCTGCCGTGCATGCAAACTGTTACTTGGGCTGATCTGCAAGACGTACGCTACCTTTGCTGCTGCTGCTGCTGCTGTTGCCGCTGCTGTGCTGTTGCTGCTGTTGTGCTGTGGCTGCTGCTGTTGCTGTTGTTGTGCTGTTGCTGCTGCTGCTGTGCTGCTGTTCGGCTGCTGTTGTGCTGTGGTGGTGCTGGTGCTTCTGTGGTCGTGTTGCTGCTTTGCTGCTGCTGTGCTGCTGCTGCTGCTGCTGCTTCTGTGGTACTGCATGCTGCGCGTGTTTTGCTGCTGTCGTGCTCCTCCTCTGCTGCTGTGCTGCTTTGCTGCTTTGCTGCCTGCTGTGCTACGCCTGTCCCGCTGCTGCTGCTGCTGCTGTTACTGGTTGGGTGCGTCGGGTTGTGCTTCTAGCTGCTGCTGAGTGCAGCTTTATCTCTTGCTGCTGCTGCTGCTGCTGCTGCTGCTGTTGCTGCTGCTCTCAGGCAGTGGAAGGGAACCACAAGCAGCGCTATGAATTGGTGTATGATGAGACAGAGACGGAGACGTGTCCGGCCCTCATCGAAGAGCAGCAGCAGCAGCAGCAGCAGCAACAGCAGCAACAGCAACAGCAGCAGCAAATGCATTGTAGTGCAGAGAAGCTGTTGGATGGTTGCTGCCGTTGCAGTGCAGCAGAGAAGAGAACCGCATGCAGCAGCAGAAGCCAGAAAGAAGCAGCAACAGCAGCAGCAGCAGCAGCGGGGTGCACTTGCTGCAGAAGCAACAGCAACGGGGAGACGTGGCTGAGCAGGTTCGTTGGCTGCACAGCTGCTGCAGACAAAGTTGCAGCAGCAGCAGCAGCAGCAGCAAAGAAGGTGGAGCGGATGAGCGGCAAATGGCTGCTGAGGGCAACGCAGGGCCATACCATTCCTTACATACGCAGGTACGCTACCAAGAAACAGCAGCAGCAGCAGCAGCAGCAGCAGCAGCAGCAGCAGCAGCAGCTTAGCAGTGGCAGGACTGTAGCATAGGCATTGCAGGTGGAGGAGGCGAGGGGTGTTCGGATATTTTTTTGAGTTTGTTGTTTGCTGTAGTTGTTTGCTGTTGATTGTTTTTGTTTGCTTTGTGTGCTGCTGCTGCTGATGCTGCTGCTGCTGCTGCTGCTGCAGCGAGTTATTTATGATGCGGGTGGAGTCTGCAGCAGACCTCCCTGTGTGCATACACGGCACATATTTACGCAATTGGCTGTCTATTAGACACCTCGGCCTCCACCGCATGCACAGAAATCATATTCGTGAGTATTATACACCCCACATCTGCTGCTGCAGTTGCTGCTGCAGTTGCTGCTGCAGTTGCTGCTGCTGATGCAGTTGGTGCTGTAGCTGATGCTGCCGATGCGGCTGATGCTGCTGCTGCTGCTGCTGATGCTGCAACAAAATAGCTGCATCGGGGGAGCGGAAGCAGCAGTAAAGCCGTAGCAGCAGCAGTAGCAGCAGCAGCAGTAACTGGCTAGGAAGGACCGCTGCAGCAGCAAGACTGCAGCGGGAGAGTGCAGCAGCGTCCTTTAGTGTAGCTGAGAAGCACAAGGGTCCAGCAGCAGCAACAGCAGCAGCAGCAGCAGCTGTAGGAGTTATTGTTATGTTAGTTTGCAACATCACTGAACTTCAATTTCCCAATTTGCTTCTGCTGCTGCTGCTGCTGCTGCTGTTGCTTCTGCTGCTGCTTCTGCTGCTCTTTCTGCTGCTGCCGGTCGTTCTGCTGCTGCTCTTTCTGCTGCTGCTTCTGGTGCTTGTGCACGGATTGATTGTGCAGATTTTGCTACGGGTCTGCCGGGTGAGGCAGCAGTGTTGAGCGGCATGCGACGAAACTCAGAAGTCGGGGTGTATATACAGGTTGAGAAAGCAATGACTGCAGGGATTATTTTTTATATGTCCAGCAATGGAGTTGTGCTGACTGAGGGGCTCCATGGCAGACTGCCGCCTGTGGGTGAACACTATTGCTGCTGCTCTTGCTGCTGCTGCTCTTGCTGCTGCTGCTCTTGCTGCTGCTGCTGCTGCTGCTGCTGCTGCTGTTGCTGTTGCTGTTGCTGTTGCTGTTGCTGTTGCTGTTGCTGTTGCTGCATGGATGGATTTGGTGTGCAGATTTTGCTACTTGTTTTCTTTTATACAGACAGTGAACAGCTTATGTGGCATATCTGCTGCTGCTGCTGCTGCTGCTTTAGAGGAGAGGGTTATATTCATTGTGTACGAATGCAGCAGCAGCAGCTGCTGCTGTTGCTATGGTGCTGCTGTTTTTTTCGTGTTGCCGCACCCCTTGTTTCTCTGCTTCCCCTGCTGCAGCATATTTTCTGTGTTGCTGCGCATGTGCATGTGCTGCTTCTGCTTGTGCTGCTGCTGCTTGTGCTGCTGCTGCTGCTGCAGGAGTTATTCTCAAAGGTGGTGTTGCTGCGAGAGGGGGTTGTGCTGATGGAGGACGGCAAAGACTACACCGATAACTATCTGCATTTAATTCCTGAGCAGCTGCTGCAGCTTTCTGGCTGTGCTATATTTCAGCAGCAGCTGCAGCACGACCTCGGTATGCTGCAGCTGTCGCTGTTTGCTGCTCCCACCTGCAACCTCATGGCTAGACAGAGCAGCTCAGAAGACTTAGAAGCAACCCAGCAGCAGCAGCAGCAGCAACAGCAGCAGCAGCAGCAGCAACAGCAACAGTTGCAGCAGTTGCAACAGCTGCAGCAACCGCACCAGCTGCTGCAGCTCCTGCCGCTGCAACTCAGCAGCAGGGAAGGCATCTCTCAAGCAGCAGCAGCAGCAGCGGCAGCACAAGAAAACGCAGCAGCAGCAGCAACACCCGTAAACACTGTCTGCTGATTTGCAGAGGTAGTTGCAGACCATCAGAGACAGCACTGGCTGTCTGTTACGTACACCGCAGTGAGGAGTATCTGCCCCTCAATCCAGAGGGCTGCTGCAGCTGCTGCAGCTGCTGCAGGTGTAGCAGCTGTTGCAGGTGTAGCAGCTGCTGCTGTTAATCAAGCAGCCTACATATATATATGTATATATATATATATATACATATATACATATGTATATGTATGCGTATATATGTATATATGTATATATATATGTATATAAGTATATAAACATGTGTAAGGATGGTGGTGTGTACACTGGATAGAAGAATGAGTGCATTTGTTCATTTTTTTAATCCGAGGGGCTGACAGCACCGGCAAAGTCGGCATCTGCTCCTTTAAACATCATCAGACAGACCCATGCATGCATGCTAAGAAGCATGCTAACATGCATGCACGCTTACATACTAACATGCATGCATGTTCGCATGCATTCATGTTGAAGAGTGGGTTCATGCATGCATGTATGCATGCATGCATGCGTGCATGCAGGGTAATGTCTGCATGCATGCATGCATGCATGGTTATGGTTGAATGTAAGGATTATATGAAGTGTATGATGAATAACAGGCAGAAGACTGCCACAAGGGAGATATGCGTGTTTGTTTGTTTGACTGATTGATTGATTAACTTTCTTTTTCTTTTTCTGTTTATTTATTTGTTTATTTATTTATTTGATGAACTTCGGCCTCTTCATCCAAGGTGGTGCAAAGAAAAACAAATAAAAAGGTCGAAACAACAACATGCTGAGGTGTATAGGCACCTCAAGTTGAATAGCATGCCAAGCACCTGCACGCCGCAGCAGCAGCAGCAACAGCGGCAGCAGTTGGAGCAGCTGCAGCACCAGCAACTGCAGCAGCAGACGCAGCAGCAGCTGCAGCAGCACTAGATAGTAGTTGCAGCAGCAGCTGCAACTACTATCAAGGAGCAGCAGCTGCAAGAGCAGCAGCTGCAGCAGCAGCTGAAGCTGGGCTGCCATTTGCAGTTTTATGTTTGTTCGTTTTTCTTTTTTTCCTCCAGACGCTCCTTTGGGGTTTGTTTGCTGAAATGATTAACAAAAAATACAGGGCTGCCTGCAGGCTGTTGCGTATTGCTGCTGTTGGTGCTGCTGCTGGTGCTGCTGTTGCTGTTGCTGTTGCTGTTGCTTTTGCTGTTGCTGCGGTTGGTGCTGCTGCTGGTGCTGCTGGTACTGTTGTTGTATTAACCATACACTATACGTGATGTTTATTACATATATAATATAGTTTCATAGGATCGCACCTAGCTCCCGCTAGCTAGCTAGCTAGCTAGCCAGCTGGAAGGACTGAGGGGCCCTGAGTTATCTGTAGAGAACAACTAACCCATTCGGTTCGTGCCTTGCTGGCTAGCAGGTTGACTACACAGCTAGCTAGCTAGTTAGGTAGCTAGCTAGCTACTCAGGTAGCTAGCTAACTACTCAGCTAGCTAGTTAGCTACTCAGGCAGCTAGCTGACTACTCAGCTGGCTAGCTACTTAGCTAGCTAGCTAGCTGGCCGGCTAGACTGCTAGACAGAACTAGGGGGTCTTCAGCAGCAGCAGCAGCAATTCCCAATTGCATGGCACGTAAAAAAATTAAGAGGTGCAGCAACATCTGCTGTTGCAGGAGCAGCAGCAGCTGCTGCTTGTGGTTTTGTTTCAAGTGTCTGTACACCCCAAGGGTTTGACTTTGCTGCAGCAGCTGCATGCATTCAGCTGAGAGTTGCTGTCTAAAGAAGACATAAAACGCAGCAGCGGATGGGATATATTCAAGAAGACAAACAAATTACGCAACGATGAAAATTGTCTCAAACACACAGGCACGCATGCACTGCGACCCGACAGCAAATGCTCCAGACTAGCCCCTTTCCCTTCATCGCAGCAGCAGCACCTGCTGCTGCTGCTGCTGCTGCTGCTGCTGGTGTTGCTTGCGCTGCTGCTGCTGTTGGTTGTTGTGCTGCTGCTGCTGCTGCTGCTGCTGTTCACTCTTTTAAAGCCCCAGCAGCAACTTTCATCGCCGCCTGCAGCTGTGAAGGTCTCGTTTCCTATTTTTGTATTCTCTCGCTGCTGCTGCTGCTGCTGTTGCTGCTGCTGCTTCTGCTGCTGCAGTTGGTGCTGGTGCTTTGTGGGTGCCTGCAGCAAATGCAGCATCTCTAGCAATTGCTGTTCATCCATGTGGTGTATTGACGCTGTAAGATATCCTCTGAGGAGTTCTCTGAGTTCAAGAGAAGGAAGATGCGAAGAAAGAAATAATAAATATGCCTTCAACTCTGCACGATAAAAGAGGGCCCCCTCTACCCCAGGGTTTTTGAGGTGTCTGTACACCCGAGCACGCTCAGCAGCAGTTCCAAAGGTTGCTGCTGCCTGCATGCACTGCTGCTGCACCAAACTCCCCTTCCTACATTCCTGCTGCTTCTGTCGCTGCGATGCAGAAGCAAAGCGTGCCATAGGCAGCACCCAACTTCTATGCTGCTCTTCATCTGCTGCTGCTGCAGCGTCTGCTGCAGCAGCGTCTGCTGCAACAGCATTAGCGAGCAACATCAGCCGTTGGTGCTCGCGGAAGTGGAGAGGGCCTCCAGGCTTTGCTTCGTACACCCAATCTGCTGCTTCTGCTGCTGCAGCAGCAGCAGCAACATCTAAGTCATCAGCATCCTTAGCAGCATACCCCGCATCAGGCATAACACATGCAGCATTTGCTGTTGTTGCTTCTCCTCTCTTCTCTGCTTGCTGCTGGAGGTATGTCGCGTGATGGAGGAGCTTTGGCTCTTCTTCTTGAATTCCTGAAGCCGTTGTTTGACTTCTTTCTTCTTTATCTTTCAAGTGAAACTCTCTTATTTTAAATGAAGATAAACAACGAACTCGAGAGGGCCCCCACCTACGCAGGCGGATGCATGCATGCGTGTATGTAAATCTAAGTTGATTCATTTGCAAGATATACATGCATGAGGAGTAGTTCCGTCATTTCTTGAAAAGATTCTTCTGAAGCTCCTCTCTTCGGCATCCCATGACGGCGACTGAGGAGATGCCCGTACACCCCAGCAGCAGAACCCTCAGGTAGCGATATGGAGATAAAATTCAACTAAATTCATTGAGCTGGTTATTGAGATGAAGAAAAAGAGGAAGAAGGAATGGAAACAACTGCACGTCCTTACCTCCAGCTCCTCGAGACAAGATTAGAGTATAGGTAAGATGCTGCACGAGAGTATTAACTCAAAGAGGCAATGACTTCATAATGAGAAAATATACTAATTGGAAGAAATAAACAACAAAAAAGAATAAAGATTTGCAAATATCAATATCCTTGGGGCTGGCTAGGCTCGCTATGGCTGAGCATGCACAGATGCATGCATGCAGAGGCTACCTTAAGCTGCTTGTTTGGATGCTGATTGGTTTTGAATTGTGTCTAATTTTATCTTTTCTTCAGATTCATCTTAAATTCATGAAATTCGCTGTCTGTACAGCTGAAGAGTGCTGTGAGTGTTGCAGGCATTTGGTGTGGGGAGGCCGCGAAGCGCGTTGATTTTGCATGAAATGCGGTGTTATTCATGATTAAAGATAGGGATAGTTTTAAAAAATAAAAAGTATTTTACATTTTATTTTTATTTTTCCGGGTGATCGCATCGGATTCTTCTAATTAACCTCAGCTTTCCACTTATTCAACTTTTCGTGAAGATGGCGGAGCCATCGGTGAGCGTCGATCAGTTTACGGTGGAAGATTTGTTGAATATTCATCAAATGATATATTTGCCGAGTACTTTAGACTTATTAATAAGTCATCTTGAGAAGGGAATTGCTCAAGGGGGCGCCTCTCCTGATCTATGTTCTGCTGTCTTGAGGCTTTACTTGCTCTACCCCCAGTGTGCAAATGCAGAAGTAGTAAGAAAGATTCTCGTTCAAAATATCGTTGCTCTACCAGAAAATCAATTCGGATATTATGCATGCATTTCTCCTTCTCATTTCCCTGCCCCAGAAGACGAGAAACGCGTTCAAGACATACTTACCTTGCAGGAGCACATTGAAGCCTGCAACTTCAGAGCAGTAAGCCCTAAACCCTATACCCTAAACCCTAAACACTGATCTTACCTTTGATGATTAAACTGGTGCTCTACACAATTGTTTTAACACGCTCTGCATGTAACGCCAGCAGCAACAGCAGCAGCAGCTCCTGCTGCAGCAGCTGTGTCTGCTGCTGAGCAGGCACAGCAGCAGCAGCAGGAGTTGCTTTCGCTGTTGTGCTTGTGTGGGGCTTTAGTTTGAAGAGGAGTGATTATGTATTTCTTTTAAATGCCTTTGAAGTAGAGAGAGTTGCATACGCACATAGCTTTAGTATTGCCGAGCTGCATGCATGCATCTGTTTAGTGTTTATGCTGCAGATTTGCATGCATGCGTTAGCGTTAATGTTTATGCAGCAGATTTGCATGCATGCATTTGTTCAGTGTTTCTGCAGCAGATCTGCATGCATGCATGCATGCATGCATGGATTGATAGATGCATGCATATATGTTGTGTATGTGCTGCAGGCGTGGAGTATGCTGCGGGAGCCAGATATGTCTGATGTGCTGCACACCCCCGGAGTAGTCGATGCGTTGCGTCGGTATATATGCGAAGTGCTGCAGCTAACATTTTCTACGATATCTCTTGGAGATTTCTGTCTGATGTTGAACTTGAACAGCAGCAGCAGCAGCAGCAGCAGCAGCAACGCTTCTGCTGCTGTTGATGAGAAGGTGGAGAAGCTTATTAAAGCTAGAGGCTGGAGCATTGAAGAAGGCATATCCGGAGGCAAAGTAGTAAGAATTACGCCGAGAGATGCAGACTCTCCAAAGGCAGTTGCAACTCGCGCTTCTGTTGCACACAAAACCGTAGAAAAATATCTCTCTCCTGAAGGCCTTCAGCAGTGTCTTTCCCTGCTGCAGTGCTAAGCAGCAGCAGCAGCTGCTGCTGCTGCTGTTGCTGCTGCTGCTGTTGCTGCTGCTGCCAACGGGGGCGGCGGCTGCTGCACTGGAGCAGCACCAATGGCAATAGCGGCAGCAATAGCAGCAGCAGCAGCAGCAAAACCATATGCATTGCAGGGTGCTGCCTGTCAAGCGAAAAACAAATTGTCCCCACAAACTGCTGCAGCTGCAGCTGCAGCAGCAGCAGCAGCAGCAGGACTTTGTGTTGTGGGTTTGCTGCGGTTGCTCTGACTGTTTTGTGTATAAACACAAAAGACAAATAAAGCTCCGAAAGAAATATCCAACATGAGTTATTAAACTAAAATAAATAAATAAAGAACGGCTGGCACTTATTATTATTATTATTATTAGTTATTACTATTATTATTATTATTATTATTATTATTATTAGTTATTATTATTATTATTAATTGTTATTATTATTAATCTCTTTTGTTTGCACTGTATAATAAATTGATTTCGATATTTTCGCTACATCGTCTGTACACCGCAAACGGTAAACCATGTTATTACTGGGCCCTGCCAGTATATATATATATATATATATATATATTATATATATATTATATATATTATATATATAACACAGCAGCAGCAGTCATTGCAGCGGCAGCAGCAACAGCCGCGCCACAACGCCAACAAGGCATTTGCTGCTGCTCTTGCTGCGGCTCGTCTTGCTGCACGACGTGCTGCTGCTGCTGCTGTTGCTGACAACAGCAACAACAACACCAACAGCAGCAGCAGAAGCAGTAGCGCATCAGGGGGTTTTAGGGCTCAAGCTATTGCTCTCTTGGTCCCCATCCTGCTGCTGCTCGTGCTGCTCCTGCTGCTCTCGCTGCTGCTGCTCCTCTTGCTGCTGCTGCTGCTGAGAGAGCCCGAGGGCCTCCACTGTCGTCTGCAAGCAGAGCTGCACCTCTCGCCGTAAACAGCTGCAGCAGAACACCCAGCAGAGGCAGCAAATTCACCCGCAGCAGCAGCAGCAACAGCAGCAGCACAGTCAGCATCAATATCAGCAACAACGGTAGCAGGAACAAAGGCAGCAGCAACAGCAGCAGCAGCACCATCAGCAACAGCAACGGCAGCAGCAGCAGCAGCGAGGCATACGCATCATCGCAGGAGACGAGGGAGACGAACTTGGGCATCAACAGCAGCAGATGCGCCTTTCCGCCTGCAGCAGAAGCAGCAGCAGCAGCAGCAACAGCAGCGCAGCACTCTATTCATGCAGAACATCTGCAAGCGACAGAGATAAACAAGAAACAAAAAGCCACTGCAGCAGCAAAAGACCGACGACAGCAGCAGCAGCACCAGAAGCAGCAGCACCCGCAGCAGCAGCAACAGCAGCAGCAGCAAGAGCAACAACAGCAGCAACATACCTGCGAGTTGCATCAGCACTGAGATCCTTGAGGGGTTGTTATGTGCAGAGGCAGGCGGTGCGCATTGGAGTGTACGTACACTTGAAAATACAAATTCTAACAAACGTGCATCGACAGAACTCAGCTGCACGCATGCAAACAGCAGCAGCAAACAAACAGACACATATTATCCGGCTATGCTGCTGCATCTGCTGCTGCATCTGCTGCTGCTGCTGCTACTGCTGCACATGCTGCTGCTGCTGCTGCTGTTGCTGTAGGTGGTGCACACGAACCTCGCAACCTCTTTGGGGGGCATCTGCATACGCCCTGACAACTCTGTCACACTGCTGCAGCAGCAGCGGCAGCAGGAATTCTTGCCTTGCTGCTGCTGCTGCTGCTGCTCGGGCTGCTGCTGCTGCATGCGTCCCCTCTGCAAGCACCGCGTCGTTGCTGCGCTCTTCGCAGACACGAAAGAACCTGCAAACCGCAGCAACACGCTCAGTAGCAGCAACTGCAGCAGCAGGTGTAGCAGCAGCTGCAGCAACCGCTGCTGCAGCGCAACAGATTGAGTGGTGTATGTACGCCCCAATCTGCTGCAGTGCTCTGCTGCAGTGCAGCAAAATGAGCTGTGCATACACTGCAAATGCAGCAGCAACTCACAAGGAAAACGCCTCCCGTGCGAATGTCGAGGGGGCCCTCATGTCAGTGCATGCAAGCTGCAGCACTGAAGCCTGAAGCAGCAGCAGCAGCAGCAACAGCACAATCAACAGTAAACTATATACAGTCGTCTCTCCCCAGTCTGCAGCACCTGCTTCCGCTGCTATCGATGAAAAGTGCTGCGGCTCTCACTGCTGCTCCTGCTGCCGGCGCAGCTGCTCCTTTGTTGCTGCTGCTGCTGCTGCACGTATGCAGAGTGCGGCGTAGGACTTACAAGATCAGCTAACGTGGCGGTTGACCATTGCTGCTGCTGCTGCTGCTGCAGCACTGCAGCAGCAATGCGCAGCACCCAGCGCCGCAGCAAGACAACCTCGGGGCTGTCACAAAGTTGCTGCTGGTGTTGCTGCTGCAGTTCGTGTTGAATGTGCTGCAGCTGCTGCTGCAGCTGCTGCTGCTCCTGCAGCAGCTGCTGCAGTGATTGCTGGTGGCTCAGGCTGCATGCATACGGAGGCGGTGGCGGCTGCTGCGGGAACAGCTGCTGCTGCTGCTGCTGCTGCTGCTGTTGCAGATACAACTCGTTTGCTGCAGCTGGAGGAAGGAAGGACGGAGCGCTGAAGGGCTGTGGCAGATGTGCTGCAGCGTGCACACAAATCCTAAACCCTAAACCCTAAACCCTAAACCCTAGGGGCTCTAGCTCCTAGACCCTAAACCCTAGACTAAATTATTTTCTGCATGGTATGCACATGTGCTGCTATCTGCTTACTTTGAACGGCATTGAGTTGTTGGTGTTTGTGCAGTAGCTGCTGCACCTGCTGCTGACGTTTCTGCAGTTCTTGCTGCTGTTGCAGCAGCTTCTGCTGCTGCTGCTGTTGCTGCTGCACTAGGGCGTTGTCATCAGTGGCGAGCTGCAGCAGCGCCCATGCTACTGCACCCCACAGCTGCTCTACAGTGTCCGGAGACAGCAAAGACTTCCCTCCTCCTGCTGCTGCTGCTGCTACTGCTGCTGCTGCTGCTGCTGCATCTTCGCACAGAGTGCATACGGCTTGTGCTGCTAAGGCCCAGAAGCCTACAGACCGAAGACGAGGGTCGCGGCGAGTTGCTGCAGCAGCAGCAAAGTGCTGCAGCACCAGCGGCACACACCGCAGTACACCATCCAGTGCTGTCAAGCTCCTGCTGCTGCTGCTGCTGCTATTTGACTGCTTCTGCTTCTCCTGCTGGTCCTCCTGCTGCAGCTCCTGCTGGTCCTGCTGCTGCTGCTGCAGGGAGTCTGCATAGAATGCCTTCACTATTGTCTGTCTGAAGACCTGCAGCAGCAGCAGCAGCGCCGAGCTGCCGAGCGCCAGGCTCAGCGAATCGCCATACAAACGCCGCGGATCCAGCAGCACTCTGCACAGCTGAGACAAACAGCAGCAGCAGCAGCAGCAGCAGCAGCATATGCATGCACTGCAGCAGCAACAGCTGCAGCAGCAGCAAGAGCATACATCGCCGAGCAAGAAAACAGCATAAACCAGTGAAATTCCAGGAAGCAGCAAGCTGCAGCTGCAGCAGCAGCAATGGCTACAGACGCAGCAGCAGCAGCAAATGTAGTAGCAGCAACAGCAACAGCAAATGTAACACAGGAAGCAGCTGCGAGGGAAGCAGCAGCAGAGACAGTCGGCGGTGCCTCACCTCATCCACAAGACACAGCAAAATGCCTCCAGGAACAGCAGCAGCAGGTGAAGCAGCAGCAGGTGCAGCAGCAGCAGCTGCTGCTGCAGTAGGCAGCAGCTGCAGCACACGGTTGCAAGTCATTAGCTGCACACTTGTGAGGCGAAAGGAGCAGCAGAACGGCAGTTCATCTTTCAGACTTGCAGCAGCAGCACTTGCTGCTGCTGCTGCTGCTGTGTTGGTGTCTGCAGCAGCCGCTGCTCCCGTGTCCGCAGCAGCAGCAGTAGTAGTAGCTGCTGCTGCTGCTGTAGCTTGCTGCAGTGGCAGAAAACGCCGCAAGTCGATCCTTTCCCTCATCTCGTCTAACATGGCCGTTGTTGGTGCAGCAGCAGCAGCAGCAACAGCAGCAGCAGCAGCTGCTGCTGCTGCTGGCGTGCTGCTCGTGCTGCTGCATGCGGTGCTCTCGGGCTCGAAGGGATTTGTTGATCTCGGCTGCTGTGGTGATGCTGCTGCTGCTGCTGCTGCATGGGGACTGCTGCTGCTGTTTGCAGCAGCAGCAGCAGCAGCTGCTGCTGCTGCTGCTGCGTGGGGCTGCAGGCGCAGGCAGGAAGTGATAGCCTTGGCATTGCTGTCGCTTCTTTTTGTTCTGCCGCTGCTACTGCTGTTGCTGCTGCTGCTGCTCCTGCTGGTGCTGCTGCTGCTGCTCGCCGTTGCCGGTGCTGCCGACCAGCTGCGCTCGGCCGGCAACTGCAGCAGCAGCTGCTGATGCTGTTGCTGCTGCTGCTGCTGCTGCTGCAGCACCGGGGAATCTCCTAGCAGCCGCCCGTCTGCTGCAGCAACAAATTGCAAAACGCTGCTGCGGACGACAGCCCAAGAAAACCAAGGTCCTTCCTCTGCAGCAGCAGATGCTGCTGCATGCTGCTGCTCTTGCTGCAGCAGCAGCAACAACTGCTGCTGCTGCTGCTGCTGCAGCAGCGCACTAGTCCGTGTGGTGATCTTCGCAGCTGCAGCGCAACAAAGAGCCTCAAATTCGACCCGGTGAACGGCAGCAGCAACACAGGCGGGAGCCATACATCCCAACACCCTCAGCCACCATTGCACCAGCAGCAGCAGCAGCAGCAGCAGCGGCAGCAGCAGCAGCAACAGCACCCCCAAAACCGCAGTAGCAGCAACAACTCAGGCAGGAGCAGCAGCAGCTAGGAGAGCAGCCGAAGCATCATCGGCTGTAGCAGCGAGAAAGGGAGCCGCAGCAATCTGATCCGCATCACAAGCAGCAGCAGCAGCAGCAGCAAGATGTACCTGCTGCAGCAGGTAAGGCAAGAGGCGTTGCATGACGAGAGAATAGAGAAGGAGATGTAATAAGCCCCAAAGCCAACTGCAGAGACACCGCATGCTCCACCAACCCTGTTGTTGTGGATGCTGTTGCTGCTGCGGAATCTGCTGCTGCTGCTGCTGCTGCTGCTGCTGTTGCGGCTGTTGCTGCTGCTGAATCTGCTGCCGCTTCTGCTGCTGTCCGTCGAGCAGCAGCAAACTCTAGAAGATCCACCAGAGAAGACATCACGGCTTCCGCCTCCTGCGCCCCCAAAGAGCTGCGCAGCTCCTGTTGCTGCTGCTGCTGCTGCTGCTCCTGCTGCTGCTGCTGCTCATCGCTCCTTGTTTGCTGCAGCGCATGCAGCGGCGGCAGCAGGTTCCTCGCCAGCTGCCAATACACCGCCCAACCCATCGCCCACAAAGTTGTCGTCTGCTCCCCGCTGCTGCTGCTGCTGCTGCATGTGGGGTCCGCAGCAGCAGCAAACTCAGCACGGCGGTAAAGCTGTTGCAGCATATCCAGCTCAATCTGTCACAGCAGCAGCAGCAACAACAGAAACGTGAACGCTCTGCTCCAGCAAGCATAAGGCAATTGGACGGGGGCAAAACGCAGCAGCAGCAGCAGTAGCTCAGCAGCAGCAGAAACAGCGGCAGCAGCAACAGCGCCTAGGAACTGATAGGATAAGAAACGCTGCTGTAGCAGCAGCAGAAGACATCGCTTGGCGCAACAAAAGCAGCACCAGCAAAAAAAAGCAGCACCAACAGCAGCAGCGACAACAGCAGCAGCAACAGAAATAGGAGCAGCACCAACAACAACAACAGCAACAGCAACAGCAGCAGGTCTCACAGGAGCAGCAGCAACGGAGAGGGTGAGGATATCTGCAATGGAGGCGTTTGCTGCTAGCAGCAACTCAGGTAGAAGCCCTTTGCGTGTCTTTGTTGCTGCCTCGAGCGTCAGCAGCAGCGCAGCAGCAGACTCGAGCACCACCTCTGTTCCTCCTGCTTCGTCTTTCGCTTCTGCTGCCTGCTGTTGCTGCTGCTGCTGCTGCTGCAGAGCAGCTGCGTAGTGCAGCAGCAGCACACGCACGCCGTCCACAGCAATCACAAGAGTCTCTGCCCACTGCTTCAGCTCTGTTTCAATGTTGCTGCTGCCGTTGCTGCTGCTGCTGTTGCTGGTTGCGCTGCTGCTGATGCTGCTGCTGCTACACTTCTCATCCTTGAGGGCTGTCAGCCTCACGTAGGTGCTGCACACGTCCAGCAAAGTCTTCGTTAGTATACGAGAAACACACCTGCAGCAGCAGCAGCAGCAGCAGCAGCAACTGCATCAACGGGAGCAACAGCATCAAGAGCAGCAATAGCAGCAGCAGCAACAGAACAGAAGGAGCAGCAACTCAGCAGCAACAACAGCAGCAGCAGCAACAACAGCAGCAGCAACAGCAGCAGCAGCAAGTGCAGTTGCTGCAGCACCGTACGTAAGAGATTTGTTGCGATGAACGAGAAGCGGAGATGAGCGAACAGCAGCAACAAGGCTTTTTAATGCGCAGTGCCGCAGCCCCGGCCTCTTCTCAGTAGACAGTACACCCAAATATAAAAACGTCTGACGAGTTAACCCCTCCTCTACTTCCTCCTGCTGCTGCTGCTGCTGATGCTGCTGCTGCTGCTGCTGCTGCTCGTCGGCCGCCCACAGAGGTTCAAAGACACGCAGAGAAGAAGCAAACGGCAAACCAAACAGCCGCTTGTCTGCTGCTGCTGCTGCTGCTGCAGTTGATGCTGCAGTTGCTGCTGCAGCCGTCGGGGGTGCACTGACACCGCCACTCTCTACAGCAGCAGCAGCATCAGCAGCAGCAGCATCAGCAGCTCTTTTGCGGCGTGTCTTCCCTAGGAAATCTGCGAGCGACCAAAGGAGGCCAATGCAGCGATAAGAGAAGCATGAAGCAAACCCCCCAGACAGATCAGGGACGCCCGCTGCTGCTGCTGCTGCTGCTGCTGCTGCGTCGCTGCTGCTGCTGCTGCTGCTATCCTCAGATATCGCCAATGCAGCCACAGCTGCGGCCAGAACGTGCGTCAGCCGCTGCAGCAAACGCAAAACGCACAGCAAACACCCCAACGGCATCCGCAGCAGCAGCAGCAACAGCAACAGCAGCACAAACAGCGGTAGCAGAAGCAGCACAGGCAACAGCAGCAGTGGCATCAGCAGCACTTTCAGTATCAGCATCATCTACACCAGCAGAAGCAGCACAAATAGAAACAAGAACAGCAACAACAGCAACAACAACGGCAGCAGCAGCAGCAGCAGCAACAGCAGCAGCAGCAGCAGCAGCGTACATGCACGGGAACGTCCTCCCCGTAGTCATGCACAATTAACTCCATCAACGCCAGCACTTCTCTGCGCTCAGCAATGCAGCCAGGAGAGCGTAGTTGCTGCAGCAGCTGCTGCTGCTGCTGGCTGCTGCTGCTGCTGCTGCTGCTGCTGTACCAGCTGCTCCTGCGCGCATCCGCAACCGCTCCTATGACAGCGCGGAGCTCCTGGGGGACCTGCTGTGCTGCAGCAGCAGCAACAGCAGCAAGAATCAGCAGCCAAGCTCTTTGCTGCAGCAGCTGCCCTTGCGTCCGCAGCAGCTGCTGCAGCGACCTGAGAGCAGCAAAGCGAGACACTCCGTTTGCTGCTGCCAGCAGCCTGCAGAGCCCCTGCAGCACCAGCCACTGCAGCTCCGCCTCCACCGTTGCTGCTGCTTCTGCTGCTGCTGCGCTTTCCTCTGGGCAAGCAGCAGCAGCAGCTGCTGCTGCTGCAGAGCAGCAAGCGCTGATCTCAGGCAGCAGCAGCTGCAAACTCAAAGACAAGCACCGCACAGCCTCCACCCTTGCTGCTGCACTTAGCTGCGGTGTATCTGCATGTGCAGCAAAGCCCAAGGCGTCTGTCTGCTCATCCTCATCTGCTGCTGCTGCTGCTGCTGTTGCTGCTGCTGTGGGGCGCAGCCAAGCACCCCGTATAAGAAGCGGCAAGCGGTCGACGTTGTACAGCAGCAGCAGCAGCAGCCGCCTCCAACAGGGAGGCAGCAACAGAGCCTCGCTGCTGCTGCTGCTACTGCTGCTGCTGCTGCTCAGCGTCTCCGTTCTCGGTCCTATAAACGACTCGAGCGAGTTGCTGCTGCACCCCTGCCACGTTGCTGCAGCGCCGCTGCCTGTTGCTGCTGCTGCTGCGGTTGCTGCTGCTGCTGTTGCTGAGATTGCTGCTGCGCACCCGGATATCTGGCAAGCTCCTCCGGTGCTGCAGCAGCAGTGAGCTGCGGTGTCTTGCTGCTCACCTTGCTGCTGCATATGGTGGCCTAAACCTGCGGGGGAATCTGCAGCAGCAGCAGCAGCAGCAGCGGCTGCTGCTGCTGCAGGCCCAGTACCACCAGAGGTAGAAGAAGCCTTTAGCAGCAGCAGCAGCAAATACTTTGCATGCGCCTGCAGCGCGCAGCTCAAGCCCTGGCTAGTTAGCTGTCTCGAAAGCAATCCGAAAGCGGCTATCTCCCCTTTGCTAGCTGCAGCAGCAGCAGCAGCAGCAGCAGCAGAAGCAGCTGCAGACGAAGATGGAGACGATGGCACCTGTTGCTCGGCGCTGCTGCTGCTGCTGATGATAATGCTGCTGCTGCCATCCGCAGCAAAAGGACCTCGAGCGGCTAATGGGCACGCAGAAGAGGCAGCTGACACAGCAGCAGCAGCAGCAGCTGCTGCTGCTGCTGCTGCAGCACGTTCACTCAAGCCTAAATCCCTCCAATAGGCTGCTGCTGCTGCTACATCGTCGGAGCTCTCCTCTTCTGTTGCTGCAGAAGCTGCATTTGCTGCTTCTGCTGCTGTTGCTGCTGCTGCTGTTGCTGCTGCTGCTGTTGCAGGTGCTGCCGGCTCCATCAAAATCGCAGGTATGCCGTAGTTCGGAGGGAAGTCCAGACCCACCTGCTGCTGTTGCTGCTGCTGCTGCTGCTGCTGCTGCTGCTGAGGGTCAGGAGGCGGCAGCTCCTCGAGCGCGCGGAGGCAGAGCAGCCAACAAGAAGGTGAGAGGATGCTACCGCAGTTAGTAATGACAGCAAAGAGAAAGGTGCGAGCAGCAGCAGCAAGCTGCGATACCTGCTGCTGCGGCAGCTTGCTGCTGCTGCTGCTGCTGCTGTTGCTGCTGCTGCTGCTGCTCTTCGTGTCGCGTCTTCCAAATAACCAGCTTAACGCTTCAGACCCTGTAAGGCCCAAAGATGCTGCAGCGCCCCCTGCAGCAGCAACAACAGCAGCTGCTGCTGAGGAACCGCTGCTGCTGCTGCTGCTGCTGCGGTGCAAGTGGGGGGTAGGCTCTTGTGCTGCAGCAGTAGCAGCAGCAGCAGCACTCCCCAGTGCAGCATATAAACAAAATCTCATTACACCCTGCAGGGTCGCCGTCCCTGCTGCATCAATACGCATAAGGCAGCAGACAGCCAGCAGCTGGTAGCAGCAGCGAAGCAAAGTGTACGTTGCTGCTGCTGCTGCTGCTGCTGCCGCCTGCCCCGGCCATGTGAAACCCATCTCCTTCTTGCTGCTGCTGCTGCTGCTGCTGCTGCTTGCACCAGCTTGCAGCGTAAGCGAGACATGAGCTGTAAGCACTAAGCCCAAGGCAGAGACAGCAGGGCTCCACCCTGCAGCAGCAGCAGCGCAGCAGCAAGCTTGCTGCTGTGTCAGTGGGAAGTCGAGGGGTTGCCGCAGCAGCAGCAGCAGCCGTCTCCGCTGCTGCTCTGGTTCTGCTCCTTCTCCAGCAGCAGCTGCAGCAGCAGCAGCAACAGCAGCAGCCGCTGCTGCAGGCGGCGCAGCAGCAGCAGCCTCGAGCGTTGCTGCAAACAACGCCTCTACAGCTAGCAACAGCCCAGAGAGGGATATGTGAAGCAGCCTAGCCTTTGAAACAGCAGCAGCGGCAGCAGCAGCTGCTGCTGCTTCTTCCTCAGGGCACCCCAAAGCAGCGCAGCATTCAAGCAGCCGAGGAGACGTATCCCATGCCTCACACCCAGCAGCAGCAGCAGCAGCAGCAGGACCAGCAGCAGCAGCAGACTCTGCTGATGAAGCCTTGCTGCGGATACTGCTGCTGCTGTTGCTGCTGCTGCTGCTGCTCCCTGCCTGCTGCTGCAGTTCACGAGAGCCAAATCCTATGGAGCTAACTGATCCATGCCTTGCTGCCACAGAAGATGTAGTAGCAGCAGCAGCAGCAGCGGCTGCTGCTGCTGCTGAACCCGAGGGCCCGCTCGCGCTCCTACGTGGGCTGCTGGTCCGGCTGCTCGTGGTGCTGCTGCTGCTGCTGCTGCTGTTCGGCAGCAATGCAGCATCGCGGGAGAGCATTCCCAGCCGCATCTTGCTGCTGCTGCTGCTGCTGCTACTGCTGCTGCTGCTGCTCCTGCTTATGCTGATGCTGCTGCTGCTGAGGGGCAGCGCAACCCAGTAACCCGCCGCCTCTCTTCTGGCAGCAGCAGCAGCAGCACGAATTGACCCCACAGCTGTCCGTACACCTGAAGTGCGTTGCTGCGGTGCAGCAGCAGCAGGAAGAGGATCCTCAGACATTTGAAAGGCATCTCTGTGCAGCAGCAGCAGCTGCTGCTGCTGCTCTGCAGCAGACGCGAAGCAAATCTGATGAATGGTGCGGCTGAAGGTCTCTAAGATCTGGCCCAGCAAACGACGCGGCGGAGGCCGTGCTGCTGCTGCTGCTGCTGCTGCTGCTGTTGCTGCTGCACCTGTTTCTCCTCCTTCCGCTGCAGCTGCTGCAGCAGCCGCTGCTGCTGCTGCTGAAGGAGCAGCAGCAGGCTCCGGGGCGTCCAGCTGCAGCAGCAGCACGGGATCACTGCAGCAAACTGTGAGGGCTTCAAGTGCGACGGCCCTAATCCACTCTGCTGCTGCATCTGCTAGCCGCTGCAGCAGCAGCAGCAAAGGAATTGCCTGCTGCTGCAGCAGCGGAAGGTACATGCATAGCAGCAGCACGACAAGCCTTACAGAGCGCAGCAGCACCGGCCTCTCGGGCTGCGGCTGCAGCAGCAGCTGCTGCAGCACTGGGCATAGCTGCTGTTGCAGCAGCTGCAGCAAACCAGGCAGCTGCAGCGGCAGAGAAGGGTGCTGCAGCAGCAGCCACGTCCACAGGTGGAGACAGACAGAAGGAGACAGAGACAACCCCCCCAGCCAAGCTGCAGCGCTCACCGATTTGCTGCTTCTGCTGCTGCTGCTGTTGTTGTTGTTGTTGCTGGTGCTGTTGCTGCTGCTGTTGTTGTTGTTGCTGCTGCTGCAAGACTGCAGCAGCACGTGGGTCAAATCCTCGAGCAGATGCAACAGCGCCCGTCCCGCGCGGCCCGGCTGCATCTGCTGCAGCAGCAAGTGCTGCTGCTGTTGTTGTTGCTGCTGCTGCTGCTGCTGCTGTTGCAGACAGTTATTATTCTCCGGGTCGCTGCTGCTGCGGCTGCACCTGTTGAGATTTCTAGGTGAAAGCTCCGTTGCTGATGCAGGATCCAGGCCTTCCTGCTGCTGCTGTTGTTGCTGCTGCTGTTGTTGTTGCTGCTGCTGCTGCTGCTCCTGCAAAGCCCCGCTAACGAGACAGCCAATCAGCTGCTCCAGACCGGCGCATGCACCGTGAAAGAGAGCGGCATTTGTTGTTGCTGCTGCAGCAGCAGCAGCAATTTTGGAGTGAGTAGCAGCAGCAGGGGCTGCAGCAGGTGCTGCAGCAGGAGCAGCAGCAGCAGGGGCTGCTGCTGCTCCTATTAACCAGACAAGGAGACGAGCGAGTCTGTGAACGACTGCAGCATCAGCAGCAACGCGTGCCTCTGGAGCAGCAACAAGCAGAGCGAGCTGCAGCACCCGAATCTGCAGCTGCTGCTGCTGCTGTTGCTGCTGCTGCAGCGACTGCTGCATCAGGTCTTCAAGCACCGACACAAGCAGCAGCACGTCTGAAGCTGCTGCTTCCGTGGCAGCAGCAGCAGCATCTGTATCAATTCCAGGTTCCTGCTGCAGCGCGTCCCGCTTAACCGGCAGCAGAAGCTGCTGCTGCTGCTGCTGCTGCAGCGCCGGGGCCTGAGGAGTCATGAGCAGCCTACGCTGCAGGTGCAGCAGCAGACAGCGCAGCAAGTTTGCAGCTCCAAACAGCAGCTTTATGTTTTCAGTCTTTGTTGCGTCTCGAGCTACTAGAAGGACATCTCTAATAGGGAAGGCTGCTAGTAGGCTTGCTGCTGCTTCTGCTGCTGCTTCTGCTGTTGCTGCTCCGGATGCTGCTGCTGCTCCTGTTGCTGCTGCACCCCGCTGCGAAGCTGCTGCTGCAGAGCGCTGCACTGCTGCAGCTAACACCGGCAATCCCTCGCTCAAGCGATCCATGTGCTGCTGCAGCAGCGCAGCAGCAGCAGCACAAGAGTCATGCAATTTGCTGCAGCTGCTGCTGCTGCCAGCCTTCTTCTTGCTGTCCTGCAGCAGAGCCTTTAACTCCCGCTCCACTGCGCTGCATGCCTCAAGTGCTGCTTCGCGCTGCTCACTCCAAGGAAATCGAGCTGCTGCTGCTGCTGCTGCTGTTGCTGTTGCTGTTGCTGCTGCTGCTGCTGCTGGGGCGGAGCCCGCAGCTGCTGCTCCCACACGGGAGGCCTCAGAAGAAGCTGCATTATCTGAGGTCGCTGCTGCTACCGATCCAGTACCTGCTGATGTTGCTGCAACATCTGCTTCTGCTGCTGCTGCTGCTGCTGTTACTACTGCGGCTGCTGCGGCATCATCTGCTGCATCGCTGGGCGCTGCAGGGGAGTCGTCAGCGCTGTCTGCTGCTGCTGCCATCTTCGCTTGCTGCTCATGTTGCTGCTGTTGCTGCTGCAGTTGTGGCTGCCGACTCCGTAGCTGCCGTTGCTCTTGCTGCTGCTGCAGTTGCTGCTGCTGTTGCTGCTGCCGCTGTTGTTGCTGCTGCTGCTGCTCGGAATCCCATCAGTCTAAGCAGCGGCTGTCTTAGCTCGCAATCCGTCACTCTAGTGTGCAGCAGCAGCAGCGGCTGCTGCTGCTGCTGTTGCTGCTGTTGCTGCTAGTGGTGTGGCTGCCTAGCTTGCTCCAGCGTGCTGCGGCACAAGTAGAGCGGTTTGCTGCAGCAGCAGCAATCCGCTGGATAGTATGAATGAATTTCGTGGCGTTCTTTTACCTTTTTGCTGCTGCAACAAACGCTACTACACTCAACCAACCTCTGCTGCTGCTGCTGCTCCTGCTGCTGCTGCAGCCCCAGTCGCCGTTCCGTTACCGCAGCAGCAGCAGCAGCAGCAGCAGCACGAGGCAGCAGCAGCAGCAGCAGCAGACACCGCTTTTAGGCCTGCTGCTGGATCGCTGAGGTGAAATTTATGAAGTGAATGGAGGCAAAAGGATTCTCTTGGCTCCCTATGACTCCAGACACAGCAGCAGCAGCAGCAGCAGCAACAGCAGCAACAGCGGGACTGCAGCAACAGCTGGAGATTACAGCAGCAGCTGCAGCAGCATTGCCGTTTTCTGCTGGCTTTCTAGTTTAGTTTTTATGAGCTCTTCTCACTGTCTTTAGGAGCAGAGCGTCTGTTGCTGCAGCAGCGGGAGCAGCTGCAGCAACAGCGGCGACTGCAGCAGCAATTGCGCAGCAGCAGCAGCCTAGCAGCAGCAGCAGCAACAGATTTCCTGCAGATGTTTTCCCCGTGCCTGGCTGGAAGCCTGGAGCCCGTTGGGGACCTGCAGCTTCAACCACGGCGTTCTAGTCAGCAGCAGCAGCAGCAGCAACAGCAGCAGCAGCAGCAGCAGGAGCATCGGGGGCGCCTTGTGTGTATAGAGTGCGGTGCCCCAGTGGAGTGTATATACAGAGCCTTCCCTCCGGGGTCAGACAACATTCGTTTGGTTTGCTGCAGCAGCTGCAGCAAGCTAGCAGATCCATACCTGCAGCACGACTCTCTGCTGCTGGCGCTAGATTTGCTGCTGCACAAGCCTCAGGTGTATAGGCACCTCCTCTACAACCGGAAACCCCACACACGGGGATCGATCCCCCCCAGCATTATTAAATTCACCATTGCATGCATCTTCTTTGACGCCTATCTCGAGTGGTTTCTGCTGCACTCGCCGCAGCACACCCAGCAGCAGCAGCAGCAGCACCAGCAGCAGCAGCATAGGCGGCAGAGGGAAGCAGAGACTAACTGCTTCCATCGCACCGGTAGCAGCAGCAGCAGCAGCAGCAACAGAGACACGGGGGGTGATAGGCCACTGGCTGTTGAGCGGCAGCGGGATGGAGCTTCTGCTGCTGAGGTTGCTGCAGAGCTGCAGCAGCAGCAGCAGCAGCAGCAGAAGCGCAGCAGCTGCACTAGAAGAAGGAGCCTCTTCTGGCGGCCTTCATTGTTAGCCCTGCTTGCATGCGGTTTTGCTGCTGTCTTCTCCCCTCATAGGAAGTACTGCAGCAGCAGCAGCAGCAGCAGCCATTTCATGAATGGGTGTAATCTTGCAGCAACCCACAGTACGCTGCTGCTTCACAACATAGAAACAGCAGATGCTGCTGCAGCAGCAGCAGGTGAGGGCGCTGCCTTCAGCTGCATACATGTTGAGGATTCACCTTGCACCAGCAGCAGCAGCAGCAGCAGCAGCGGGAGTGAGAGTCTAGAGGCGGCTTGTTCACGGCCTGCACCAGCGGACCCGTTGCAGCAGCAGCAGGAGCAGCGGCAGCAGCAGCAGCAGCAACGGCAGCAGCTTAGAGAGCTGCAGGGTGTGCAGCGCTTAACTGCATCTTCTGGAGCAGCAATAGAGCAGCAGCTGCTGGTGCTGCTGTCTTCTGCTTCTGAGTTAACTGCATTCTTAGGTACAGCGGTGCTGCTGACCTGGCTTTTTGTTGTGTGGCGCAGACGAACTGTTGCTGCTGCTGCTGCTGCTGCTGCTGCTGGAAAGGCCGCACCAAAGGGTGCAGCAGCAACAGCAGCAGCAGCAGCAACAGCAGCAGCAGCGGATGAAGACAACTCCCATGCTGCAGGATCCCTTGTCGCTGCTGCTGCAACCCGAACAACAGCCACAGCAGCAGATTCAGCAGCAATAGCACCACCACCTCCAGCACCAGCAGCAACAGCAGCAACAGCAGCAACAGCAGCAGCAGCAGCAGGGGAGGAGTTTGAGCTGGGGGTGCTGCTGACAGCGTTAGGTTTATCTCTTTATAGTAAATTAGCTACGCTGCTTATTATGGCCTGGAATGAAGCGCTGCTGCTTCGTCACTGCGTTGCTGTCTTGAGTCTGAGCAGCAATATTGTTGCTTTGAATGTGTTTCTTCATCCTGCACATCCTGCTGCTGGCTTCCTTATTGCTGCTGCTGCTGCTGCTGCGAGAGCGGCAGTCCGGGCGCTGTTCTGGGTGCTGCTGCAGCAAGCGATTCCTGCTGCTGCTGCTGCTGCAGCAGCAGCAGCAGCAGCAGGAGAAACACGCTTAGATAGAATCATCCGTCTCTTTATATGAATTTTATTTTTATTTATTTGTCTGCTGTCTCTCTCTTTATTTACATTTATTATTTGGCTTCTTTGTTTATCTTTATTATTATTTATTTATTTATTTATTTATTTATTTATTTACGCTCTTCTTTTGTTATTTGTTTTATTTATACAAACATTTACTACAAAACAAACAAAGACAGACATAAATAAATAAAAATAAATTAACAAAGATGAACAGAGACAGATATAAATATAAACAAACTAAGATAAACAAACATTCATAGAAATAAACAAACAAATACAAGCAAAAGAGAGAGGGACAGACAGAGACAGACAAACAAAAGCAGATAAAGACAGACAGAAAATATAAGCAGATTAAAAACAACAAACAAATTAAATAAACTGAGAGATTAAACTAAAATATAAACACAAAAAGAAGAGTGAAGTAAAAGGCAAACAAAAGTAAACAAAAAGAGAGACAGACAAAGACAAAGAAATAAACAAAGATGAGACAGAGAATAATAAATAAATAAATAAATAAATAAAAGAGAGACAGAGATGAGCAAATAAATAAACAAGCAAGCAAGCAAACAAAGAGAACTTATATAAGTTAATACACAATAAATAAATAAATATAAATAAATATATATATATATATATATATAATAACTAAGACAGAGACAATATAAAATAAATTAAGTAAAAATATATTGCGTGTAGTTTATTACTACAGACAAACAGAGACATCTACTTCACTCTGTCTCCTTCATTAAGCTTCAGCAGCAGCAGCAGCAGCAGCAGAAGCTGCAGCAGCAGCTGCTGCAGAAGATACACCAACAGCAGCTGTGGCAGCTACAGCAACAGCAGCAAAAGCTTCAGCAGCAGCAACTGAAGCTGCAGCAACAGCTGCAGCACGACCAGGCTGATTAGAGTCTATCCCTTCTTACTTCATTCTAAACCCTAAACCCTAAGTTTAAGAGGAGATATTCTGTAAGAGGAGATAAACAGCTCTGCTGCTGCAGGGGCCAAGCAGCAGCAGCAGCAGCAGCAACAGCAGCAAGGCGCATGGGCACGATTAAAGAACCATCATAACTAAACCCTAAATCACAAATTCTCGCCCGGCAACCCTAAACCCTAAACCCTAAACCCTAAACCCTAACCCTAAAGCTAGCTTTAACTCGAGCTGATGAGCGGCAACGGAGGAGACGAACAGCCAAGCTATGAATAAACAAAACCCTATTTAAATCAACACTTAAACTGCCTCTGCTGCTGCTGTCGCTGCTGCTGCACCATATAAAAGCAAAGTGAAGCAGCACTTCGTGCTGCTGCTGCTGCATAGCGATGTGTTGCTGCAGTTGCACCATCGCTGCAGCAGCAGCAGCGCAGCAGCAGCACATACTACCACAGCGGCTTCCCTGGGGCTTTTCTTTGAGCAGCAACAGCAGCAGCACTATATCAGCATCAGCAGCAACTGCAGCTACAAGTGCGTCAGCCTCAACAACACATGCAACAGCAGCAGCAGCAGCAGGTCCCCACCCCCGTGTCTTTAGCTGCTATCATTACTCTTCTGCTGCTATTGCTTCTCCATTAGTATGCTGAACACCGAGCCCGTGACTGCTGCTGCTGCTGCTGTTGCTGCTGCTGTTGCTGCTGCTGTTGCTGCTGATGATGATGATTTTGCTGCTGCCGTCGCCGATTCTGCTGCTGCAGCTCCGAGTGCAGATTCTGTCGTTGCTGTTGCTGCTGTTGCTGCGCCTCAGCAGCAAAGACATGCCCGCACACTCACACCCCCACCGCTGCCAACAGCGGCAGCAGCAGCAGCAGCAGCGACAGCAGCAAAAGGAGCAGCAGCAAAAGCGGCAGCAACAGGACTATGGAGTAACCTTCAGTATGCATGCATTGTACCAGCAGCAGCAGCAGCAGCAGCAGCAGCAGCAAGAGCAGCTGAACGCTGCTTATTAAAAGTAGTTGTTGTCTTGCGTGTCTTTACAACCGATGCAGCATGAGACTTACTCGGGCGTCTGTACACCCTACCACACCCAACAGACTTCTGAGTTAATGTTGTTATAAACATAAAATTAATATTTTATCTTCTTTAAACCCCGCTGCTCTCAGCAGCAAATGCTGCAAGCAGCACCAGCCCCTACACAAGTACCAACCCCCCAGGAGCAGCAGCAGCGGCTGCAGCAGCAGCAGCAGCAGCAGAAGCAGCAGCTGCAGCAGCAGCTGCTGCTGCTGCTGCATGAGCAACAATGTGGTTATTCTAAGAACTAAAGTACGCTTCATTCTATAAATAAAACATTTACATCGCCTTTATAGTTTTTATTAGCTGCTGCTTCGCTAAATAATGTGCGGCAACAGCAGCAGCAGCAGCAACAGCAGCAGCAGCAGCAGCAGCAGAGGGGGGGATCCGGTGGCCGAGGTCTCTGCTGCTGCGGCTGCTGCAGCAGCTGCTGCAGCAGCAGCCGCTGCAGCAGCAGCAGCAGCAGCAGCTCCGTCAGCATTATTGCTTTAGAAAGAAATTTGTGCTGCTTCGTTTTGCTTTCTGTTTATACAGAGGTGATTGGGCTCCCTGCTACTGCTGTGGGTGTTGTGAGCAGCAGCAGCGGCAGCTGCTGCTGCTGCTGCTGCTGCTGCTGCCGGCAGCTTTTTTGCGTGGTGCTGGTGCTCTTGAGCGCAGCAACTGCAGCAGCAGCAGCAACAGCAACCATTGCTGTTTCTCTCAGTGTCTGTACACCTCAGGGTTCTGCCGTCTCCTTGTTGCGTGCCCTAAACAACAACCCCAGCAGCAGCAGCAGCAACAGCAGCAGCAGCAGCAGCAGCGACGCCAGTGAAAGCAGCAGCAGCATGTGCTCTCCGAGTTGCTGCTGCGCGTCTCACGTCTTGATACGGCTCCTTTGCTTAAGTAGGAGGGGGGGAGGTTAGCTGCAGCAAGCCACCGCTGCGGGGCAGATGCAGCAGCAGCAGCAGCAGCAGCAGGAGCAGCAGCAGCAGCAGCAGCACCGGAATGCCGCCTCCATCTACTGGAAGCGCCGCAGAGCGCGCAGCTGCTGAACCGGGTACGTCTAGGGGTCTCTCCTCCGCAGCAGGAGCCGCAGCAGCAGCAGCAGCAGCAGCAACAGCAGCAGCAGCAACGGGGCAGACAACGAATGCGCTACTGCAGCAACAGGGTGCGCCGGCCTCAGCAGCAGCAGCAGCAGCTGCTGCTGCTGCTGCTGTGCCAGCCGGTCCCCAAGGGAATCCCGCAGGAGCACCCCAAGCAGCAGCTGCAGCAGCAACAGCAGCAGGAGCAGCAGCAACAGCAGCAGGAGGATCAGCAGCAGCAGCGTCAGACATAGACGTGGAGGCTGATGTCCATAGTCTCTTTCAGAGGCTGTTTTCTGGTGAGTTGCTGCTGCTGCTGTTCCATTCTGCTGCTGCTGCTGCTGCTGCACAGCAGCAGCGGGAGTTGTTTGGCTGTATTGGTGTGGGGGGTGTATATTTATTTGCTGCTGTCTGTTTGTTTATATGTTTTTGTCTGTCTTTCTTTGTGTCTCTGTCGTCCATTTCATTTGTTTGATGTCTGCTGCTTATCTTTTTTACTCTTCTCGTCTTGCTGCTGCTGTTATAATTGGCTTCGCGTGCTGCTGCTGCTGCTGCTGTTGCTCTCTCTGCTACGTCTGCTGCATGATCTGCTGTTTTTGCTGTTGTTGATGTTGCTGCTGCTGCTGCTGTATTTTCTACTGCATCTATCTCCTCTCCTTCCCCTCTTCATGTTGGTGCTGCTGCACGGTTGCTGCTGCTGCTGCTGCTGCTGTTGCTGCTGCTGCAGTAACTTCTTCTATTGCTGCAGTTTTTCTTTCTGCTGATTCTGCTGCTGTTGCTGCTTCTGCGCCATGACTGCTGCTGCTGCTTTACTCTCAACTGCTGCTGTTTCTTCCTTGCTTCAACAACAACAACAATAACAACTGCTGCTGCTGCTGCTGCTGCTGCTGCTGCTGCTGCTGCTGCTGCTGCTGCTGCGTATAGGAGGTGGTTCTGGTGAGGCAGTGCTGGCAGCACTTGAACGAGGCAGCCGCTGCGGCTGCTCGTCAAAAGAAGGTGCTGTAGCATTAAGATTTCTTGAGACTTTGTTTAGGGAGACGCGGCATCTACCACGATATCCTCTGAAAGAATTGTCTGCAACAGCAGTGCTGCTGGGTCAGCTGCTGCGGAGGCAGCTGCTGCTGCAGCAAGGGCCTTCTCTATCTGTTGCTCTTCGGTGTATAATTGAAGCAATTAAGAAGGAGCCACCAAATAAATTATATATGTTCGGCGTTGCTGCTCTAGAACAAGTTATTGACGGGGTTGCTGCTTATCCTTTATTTGCTGCTGCTGTAGCTGAACGCCGAGAGCTGCTGCTGCTGCATGGACACTATGCTAAATTTGCTGCTCAAGTTGTTGCTGCTCTTCCTGCGGATCTGCGCACTCGTATACACCTCACAGAAGCAGAACTACACGCAATCTCGCTGCCCCCACCACCAACCATCGGCATGAAAGGTTTGCTGCTGCTGCTGTTGCTGCTGCTGCTTCTGGTCGCCGTGCTGCTGTTGATGCTGCTGCGGGTCGTGCTGCTTTTGCTGCTGCTGCTGCTGGGTTGTGCTGCTATTCCTGCTTCTGCTGATGGTGGTGGTGTTGCTGCTGGTTTCGTGCTGCTGCTGCTGCTGCTGGTGTCGCTTCTGCTGCTGATGGTGCTGCTGCTGCTGCTGCTGCTGTTGCTGCTGCAGGGTCAGTTTCTGGAGTTGTTGTGCCTGGGCCTATGGCGCTGAACATGCAGAATGAACGTTTCCCTAAGATATTAGAGCAGCAGCACCAACAACTGCTGCAGCAGCAGCAACAGCAGCAGCATCTGCAGCTGGGAGACGCTGCTGCTGCTGCTGCTGCGCAGCAACAGCAGCCGCCTCCACAGCAGCAGTTTGGTTTGCTGGGTGGGGCGAGCAGCAGCAGCAGCGGGAGCGGCACCAACAGCAGCACGGGTCCACCTGGTATGAGCAGCAGCAACGCGTCTGCAGCAGCCGCAGCAGCAGCCGCAGCAGCAGCAGCAGCAGCAGGCAGCAGCGGATCTGGAGGTGCAGGTTTGCTGCTGCAGCAAGGGGGGAGCATGGAGGCCCTCCTAGCTCGAGATGAAGAGTTTGTTCAGAATCTGCAGGCACCTCCTGTGTGGTTTAAAGATGCTGCTGCTGCTGCATGCAACAGCATTTGTGCTGCTAATGTAGCAGCAAAAGCTCTGCAGCTGCAGCAAATGATACGCTCAGAGTTCTTACCCTGGTTTGCTCTCTATCTTGTTAAGAATCGCGTAACGAAGGAGCCAAATCACCACGCTGTTTATATACAGTTTATTTTGCTGCTGCAGCAGCCTAGACAGGAACTCGAGCAGCAGCAGCAGCAGCAGCAGCAGCAGCAAGACCGCGAGCCCAGGGATCCACAACAGCAGCAGCAGCAACAACAGCAGCAGGGATCCCAGCAACAGCAACAGGGATCCTCACAGCAGCAGCAGGGGTCCCAGCAACAGCAACAGCAGCAGCAGCAGCAGCAGCAGCTACCGGTGATGGAGTGTATTGTCTCTACTACTTATGAATGCGTTAAAGCGCTGCTGCGGTTTGTTTCAACAGCAAAGGACTCGTCTGCCTTCAGAACAGTGCTCAAGAACTTAGGGCTTTGGCTGGGAAGCATTACAATTGCTAGGTATTGCATTTAACTCTTTTTGCTGCTCTTATCCTCTCTATTCTCATTGCTCTTACTATTTGCTGCTCCTTTTGCTGCTGCTGATAATGCTGCTTAGAGTCGTGTGGCTGTTGCTGCATTTGCTGCTGCTGCTGCTGTTCTTGCTGCTGCTGCTGCTGTCTCTGTAGTTGTTGTGTATGTTGCTGCATGTGGTGCTGCTGTCGTTGCATTTGCTGCTGCTGTTGCTGCATCCTTTTCTGCTTCTTGATATGCTGCTGCTCCATTTGCTGCTGCTGTTGCTGTTGCTGCTGCATGCAGGAACAAGCCGCTACGCTCAAAGCATATAGATTTAAAGAAGCTGCTGCTGCGAGCATACAGTGCAGGGCAGCTTGTTGCTGTGCTGCCCTTCGTCTGCCGCGTATTAGAAGCTGTTTCTTCCTCAAAAGTTTTTAAGCTGCCTAACCCTTGGACTGCTGCACTTATTAATCTCTTAGCCGAGTTTCATAAGATCCCACACCTCAGGTAATTGCTGCTGCTGCTGCTCTTGCTGCTGCTGCTGCTGCTGTTGTTATTTCTGCTGCTGTTTTCGGTTTTGGTGCTGCTGCATTTGCTGTTGCTGCTGTTTTTTTGTGGTTGTGCTGCTGCTATTGTAGTTCATGCTGCTGTTGTTTCTGCTGCTGCTGCTGCTGCTTTTTCTTTTTAAACTGCTGCATAAGGAGGTTGATATAAGAGCAGCAGCACTATTATTTAATATTATTTTACGGTTTATATAAATATCTGAATATTGGTTGTGCTGCAGAACAAATTTAGTGTTTGATATAGAAGTTTTGTTTAAAAGACTCGAGCTGAGTGTGAACGACTACGGAAATAAAACAGCAATATTAGCGCAGCACCCGCCTCCTATAGACAGCGCAGACTTTGTAGCTAGGCCTCAGCAGCAGCAGCAGCAGCAGCAGCAGCATCAGCAGCAGCAGCATGATGCAGCTGCTGCTGCAGCAGCTGCTGCAGCAGCAGCTGCTGCTGCTGCTGTAAGAGGAGGGCAGGTGCAGCAGCAACAACCTGGGGCGGGGCTCTTTGCTTCAGCAGATGATAGAGGTGTTAGGGCTCTGGGATTGCTGCTGCAGCAGCAGCAACAACAGCAGCAACATCGCTTTGGAGGGGCTGGGCTGCCGCTGGATTCGCAGCAGCAGCGCCTCCTCGATGCTGCTGCTGCTGCAGCAGCTGCTGCTGCGGCTGCGCATGCACCTGGAGCAACCCCTGCAAGAGCTGCTGCGGCGCTGCAGCAACAACAGCAGCAATCCTTCGTGGATGTACTCCCAAGAATGGATTCAGCAGCAACAGCAGCAGCTGCTGCAGCAGCAGCAAGAAGGGGAGCAGCAGCAGCAGCAGCAGCAGCAGAATCCTTCGGTCCTGTTGCCTCCACCTCTCATGTAAATTACTACTGCTGCTGCTGTTGCTGTTGCTGCTGCTGTAGCTTCTTCTTCAGCTGTTGCTTTTGTAGCTGTTGCTGCTGCTGGCGTTGCTGCTGTTGCTGCTGCTGCTGCTGATCTTATTCGTATAGATAGCTGTATGCATAAGATGAAGTGTTTGGGGTGTATGCATGTCTGTTGAGTGTATATAATATGCGTTTATATATTTAATTATATCCTTTTAATTATATCCTTTTAATTAATTTATATTTAATTATATTTATTTATTTATATCTTTCTGGTTCTGATAATATAATTTATATATATATAAATATATATATCTTATTGATTAAAGCCTATTAGTGGTGTAAACAAGTAAATAAATAAATATATATTATTAATTTATTTGCAGGGGTCTCTACGAATGAGCGGCGATGGGTTTGGCGAGGGTTTGCTGCAGTCGCTGCGCTGCTGCGTCGTCGTTTCTCCGTCTATTGCTCTCTTTGCTCTTCAGCCTTCTCTGAAAGCTATAGTTCCTGTTGCTGTTGAGAGAGCTATTCGCGATATTATCTCTGCTGTTGTCGAGAGATCAGGTATATAGATATATATACAGACTCGTGCTGCACTTACTGATGCTGCTGCTGCTCATGCTGCACTTGCTGATGA